CAGTAATTCTCCTTTCATGGTATACAGCAGTTTCTCCTATAACGCGAGAGTTGCGTTTCTGGAAGAAAAAAAAACGCGTTGTGGAAAAGTCGTGTTATAGAAATCCTCGGTTATATTGGAATTTAGGGGTTAGGAGTAGAGAGTTTTTTTTTGTCGTATTATGAATTTTAATAATAAGTGTCTTAATGATGATTTTAATCAGAAAACAGCGGAAAATGGAACAATTTTTCATACTTGCGTTTATGGTTTACGTCTCTGAATTCCTTTATTTGCTTTATTTCGAACGCGGTATGAAATCAGCCATCTTTATCTTGAACGCAAATAATGTGTTTGTGCTATACTTCAATATAATTAGATCAGACATGTAATTAGTTGGTCCTTGCTTTTGTTTTTAATTACGGGATGTTTTCTTACAGGTGGCCCAGATTTATAAAGATGCCTCAGTCGGAAATCCAGTCTCCGTGGCTGTAGTTAAGGTGGAAATATTAAAGGTAAGAAAGGCTTGAAGGCATTGTGAAAATGTAGTTAGAACACGTGATTTTCAGGCTAATCTTTTGACACCAAAGTTTGGATGTTGACAGGAGATGGAGTTCGTAGCTCGAGACAACAGGCGAAGGGAGGCGAATCATGACGGAATCTCGGCGGCGGAGATGCTGCGCAAATTCTGTGACTGGCAGAATTCCGTCAACACCGTGGACGACAGCAGCCCGTTCCACCACGACACCGCCCTGCTTCTGACCAGGTAGATGCGGTTCTGTAGTCACTACGTTCTGGCTCAGCCGCTGCTGACGTATCCCCGCATTCCGGTTCCGGTTTTAGTACAGAACGAATTGAATGTCCAAGAATAAATGATGTTGTAACCAAAACAAAGAGATGCTGGCCATCTGGCAGCATTGGAGTTTAACTTTCAAATAGGAAATCAGATAGGTAAACTTGTTTCTTATTGTTAGTGTTGGTCTTTAGCCCTGTAAATTCTTCCGAAACGCTGGTATCTACCTACAAGTACACAGGGCGTTACAACCCAGAAGATCAACATCGACGTCTTCACCATCGTGAGAACCTCGATTCTCCTCAGTAAAATCTTCTCGGGCAATCGGCCGCGGCTGATTGCCCGAGAAGATTTTATTGATTGTACTCGCCGCGAAAGTCTCAAATCCTCGATTCTCTTGTTTCTTGTTTTCGAGTTTGGTATCCCTGCTCTAGTGGTCTCTTATGAGGGTAGGTTAGGTTAGTTTGGGTTGGGTTAGGTTAGGTTTGGTTGTTAAATATCAAAGCCGGCGTCTCTGCGTTAGGCTTTGCAACTCAGCGTCTTTTTGTGACGTAATCAGTGAATTTTCGGCGCTCACCTGTGGTATGTGGCGTCTTTCATCACGAACGTAGACGTCGATAGTAACGGCGTCGATTTCCAGACGGCGATCCCAATGGCTTTGCGCGGATAGTTTGTTAAATATTGCGTCAAATCTCGACGAATGCCGTCTCGACGTTCGGCGTCGGTTCTACCGCTTCCTCCTCAACGCCATTCTGAACGTCGACAACTCGAAATGCCTTGTTATGACGTCGCTCGAATACCAGGCGTCGGTTTTCCAACGTAACATCTAGATGCATCCGATTCATTCCCCATCAAGTGTGGCGTCGGGACACGGCGTCGGTTTTGAAACGTATCCTTGGAGGCCATATGGTTTCGCCGATGTCAAACATGGCTTATTTTGACGTCGTGGCGACGATTGGTGTCGCGACGCCTGACGTCGATTTTTCGATTTTTCTTGGGTTATGTTCTGGACGCCCATCTGAAGTATATGTGACGTCTGTTGGCCTTTGACGACGCTCGGCGTCGGTTATTTAACTTCTTGGAGGCCATATAGAGGTTCTATAATGTAAAACATGGCCTATTTTGACGTCTTGGCGACCGAGGGCGTCGCGACGCCCGGCGTCGTTTTTATTTTTTGCTTCGAATGAGATCTGGACGGCCATCTGAAGTATATATGGGTTTACTGGCCGTTGAAGACGCTTGGCGTCTCGACGCACGGCGTCGGATATGAAAACATCTTCTTAATGGCTATACAGATTTTCGTCAATGTCAAACATAACCTATTTTTACATCGTGGCGACGATTGGCGTCGCGACGCCCGGCGTCGGTTTTTCGAATTTGCTTGGAATGTGTTCTGGAGTCTCATCTGAAGTATTCACGGCGTCTATTGGCCTTCGACGACGCATGGCGTCGAGACGCTCGTCTCTTTTTAAATTTGGTTATGGGCTACGTAGTGTTAACTCTTAATACACCCCGTCATATCTCCTGTATGGACGGTGTCTCGACGCCTAGCTTCTTGTTCCGATGACCTTTTAAAATAGCGTTCCGACGCTCAAATATCGAAATATGGCGACTCCATGGCGAGTACGGGGTTTGAGTCGCGACGTTGGGTTTTCGTTTTGCAACTGTTTGGAGGCCATGCAGAAGTCAGAATGGCCTCTTTCGTCGTCGTCGTGACGAGAGTTCTCGCGATTCGTAGCGTCGGTTTTTATACGTCGGTCAGTTGACTTTTCGAGATTCATCTGCAGTAAATAGGTCGTCCCATGTCAGGACGATTGGCGTCGAGGCTCGGCGTCAATGTTGTAATTTATTTTCAAGGCCGCTCACATTCTGAATTTCTGTTATGGCGGCGCGGCGTCTACTGTCTTCCGTCTAACGTATTTTTTAATGGCATCCGAAGTTTACGGCAGCAGGTGGTAGGTGATATATAATACGTTCAGGTGGGTTAGGTAAGATTCGGTTGCATTGAATTGGTCTTGTTTGGTTTGGGTTGTGTTCCCTGGGGTTTGATTAGGTTAGTTTAGGTTGTGTTTCTTACCGGGGGCTTTTACGTTCCTTACTTGAAGGGATTTAATTTCGCGTTTTGAAATGTATACAGAGCGTCCCACGAACGTGTGTGCAATTATAATTCGAAATAGTAACCTTGTTATCGATCTCCGTGTGTTGTGGTATCAACAAGACCACCAGGGCCTATATTCACAACGCTTTCCCCGACCGATGGATAGGACGCAGTGGATCTGTTAAGTACCACCAACCCTCGTGATCGCCAAATTGAATCAGTTGCTCGCGCTGTCAACTGTGCCACGAAGCTAAC